CACCAACTGGAGAATTGGACTGGGGATTATTGTTCTTTTGTGTTCTGTTTTCCACAAAGAATGAGAGTAAAATTTGTATTCGGAGAGTTCACCCACCATTTGCTTAAAGCAATGTCTTCCATTTTTGCCAGCACAAGGCAACTTCCACCTCCTGCTGTCTGCCCATTCTTCCGCTGGGGACATGAAGAACCTCTTGTGCAAAGAAGAGCAATCTACCCTTTGACATGAGGCCTTCTATCTCCCGCTGCAGTGTTTTCCTGCCCACTCCTCCCATCTGACCATCTGACTGTGTGCCTTCCATCTCATACTGCACTTGCCTCTAGCCTGATCTCCGACCTCTGTTGGGAAGAAGAATGGGACTCTTCACTCAATTATGAACATTCTCACACCTGGTCATACCCTCCACATGCCAGTGATCCTATAGATCATCATCCAAACACCATTTCCCTCCCCTGCTACCATAATTCTTTATTCCTAGCCTCTCAACCTTCCCATCCAAAAGTTCCTATTAAACACCACCCAGACCTTCCACTGTACTCTAAGGAGTGTTTGTTCCATGGGCAGCAAACTTCCCTTCGTCTTAAACCTTTTCTCATCCTACTCTTTCCATATGCTAGCTCTTAATGAAAGCTGCCTTCCCCCTGATGACATCACCTTTCTGGCCACTCTTTCCAGTACTGGCTGCACTTTCCCTCATTTTCCTTGGCTCACTGGCCAAGAGAGAAGAGTAATACTTACTGCTCCTAATCACCACTTCCAGGTTCTCTTCCTACTTCCATCACTCAGTAACTTTGAGGCTCTTTGAGGTTCATGCTACTTACTTTGAGGTTCATGCTGTTCATATCTACCACCCAGTCAAAATCCTGGTAATTATCTACAGACCCCCAAGTTACTCCCCTTCCATCCTCAATGAGTTTGGTATCTGGCTCACAATTTTTCTCTCCTCCTTAATTCCTGCCTTCATATCAGAGAATTTCAACATGCATATTGTTTCTCCCTCAAATCCTCTAACCACTCAGTTCCTGAAACTACTCATTTCCCATGAGCTACTCCACCCCACCTTAGACATACACAAAGATGGTCATACCATCAATCTTGCTATTATTCATAAATGTGCTACCTATATGTTCAAGAATTCTGAAATCCCCTAATTGACCAAAATCTATTGGCTTTCCTCCTCTTTCTCTCCCTTCCTTTACTAAACTCTACTCTTCATCTGTACTGTGACCTCCAGTCCCTTGAGCCCTCAATTATCTCCAAGGCCATCTCTCCTGAACTAATCACTCTCTCCTCTCCATCTTCTCCCCTTGGTGAACCAATTCAACTCTACACGGTCCTCTCTTAAATTTCTAGTCCCATTATCATATCACCAATTAGGCCCAGAGAAACCCCAATCTTGGGTCACTTCTACCATTTATCACCTTCAATCTTACACACATGCAGCTGAATGAAAGTGGAGAAAACCCACTCAATCATTCTGACTGGGTCCACTACAGATTTATGTTACATAACCTCAATTGGGCCCTCAATCCTACTATACATCCCTTATTAACCCACTATCCTACTTTCCACAGTAGTTTTTCTACAACTTTTCATCCTTCCTCAAACATTCCACGACTTCTTTTCCCTTCATTCTCTCAGCTGAGAAACTTGCCTCATATTTTAGGGAAAAAATTGAGGCCATTTGCCCTGAACTCCTACTTCTTTCCTCTTCCTCAGTTCCTATCACTCAGGTGCCTTCTGCCACTTTCTTCTCCTTCACCCCTGTCTCACATAATGAGGTAGCCTTACTCCCTGCCAAGGTTAACCCCTCTAACTGCTGAAGGGATCCAATTATATCCTACCTCTTCCAATAGATTGCCCTCTCTGTCATCCTTACTTTATTTTAAATTATTTACACTTATTTTAAATCATTCCCTGTTTCCTGTCTCATTCCTTACTGCCTACAAACATGCCCATGTCTCTAAATCCTGAAAAAAACCCCTCATTTGATCCATCCATCACCATGAACTCTCATTCTAGATCTGTTCTACCCTTAATAGCTGAACTCCTTGAAAAGGCAGAGTACAACAGTTGCTTCCACTTTCTCTATTCTTAACCTCTTATGATCTGGCTTCCCACACATTCCATTGAAACTTCTCTCTTCAAAGTTACTAGTGATCTCTTAGTTGCCAAATCCAATGGCATTTTCTCAATCCTCATTCTTCTTGACTTCTCTGCAGCCTTTGACATTATTGAGTACTCTCTATTCCTTGATCCTCTCTTCTTTCTAGGTTTTTGGGATACCACTCTCTCCTATTTCTCCTCCTATCTAACCATTCTTTTTCTGCCTCCTTTGCTGGATCCTCTTCTAGATCGATTCTATTCTGGGCCTTCATCTCCCTTCACTGGGTGATCTCATCAGCTCCCACACCATCTCTACGCTGATGATTCTCAAATCTGTCTGTCCTGCCCCAATAGCTCTGCTGACCTCTAATCTCTCATCTCCAGTTGCCTTTCAGGTATCTTGAACTGAATGGTCTACTGACATCTTAAACTCAATATGTCCAAATCATTCCCTCCCTTCCCCCTCCATTCTCCCTATTACTATAAAGAGCAATACCACCCTCCCAGTCCCTTGAAACTTAGGAGTCATCTTGGCTCCTTACTATCTTTCAGCTCCTCACTTACATCTAATCTGTGGCTAAGGCCTATTGATTTCATCTTTGCAACATCTCTTGCAACACTTCTTCTCCTCTCTGACACTGCCACCACCCCATTTCAAGTCCTCATCACTTCACATTTAGACTATTGTAAGAACCTGCTACTGGGTCTGGTTGCTTCAAATCTCTCTCCCCATTACAATCCATCCTCAATTTAGGCACTAAAGTGATTTTCCTAAGCATAGGTCCCATTATCTCTGCCCTCCCCCCCTTCTCCATACTTATGCAATAAATGTCAGTGACTCCCTTTTGCCTGTCTGGCTTCATAGCCCTTCAAAACCTAGCCTTTTCTACCTTTCCAGTCTTCTTATACCTTATTCCCCATCATGTACTTTTCTGAACATTTTCTCTGCTGTCCTCCATGCCTGCTCCCTCCTCATCTCTGCCTATTGACTTGTCTAGCTTCCTTTCAGTCCCAACTAAAATCCCATATTTTACTGGAAACCTTCCTCAAACCCTCTTATTTCTAGTGCCTTCCCTTTGTTAATTAATTCCTATTTATCCTGTATATAGCTTGCCTGTATATAGATATATGTGTGTGCATATACATATATATGTGTGTGTGTATATATATATATATATATATATATATACACACACATTTATTTGTTTGTATGTTGTTTCCCTCATTAGATTAAGCTTCTCGAGGGCAGGGACTGTCTTTACTTTCTTTTTGTATCCCCAGTGCTTAGCGCAGTGCCTGACACATAGAAGGTGCTTGAAAATGTTTATTGATTGATCGCCTTCAATAAAGACAAGAATTTGATTTGACTAAATTCACAGATGATTTCTCTTCACAAATTAATGTGATCTTCAGTCCTTAATCTGTAGGTCAGGGAACCAGACTTTGGTTAAATAACATAGCATTTTATAATCTCTAGTGTCTATTCTTAGAAAGTAATCCAAAATACAAATGAATGTAAAACATGGTATTGTTGAATTTGTGAATCCACTATCCACTGCACATTAATCTTCATCAAACCACCCCAGATTTAAAAATAAATATAAGAATAATATTCCAATTAGTTATCCTTCACACTCACTGCCACTCCATAATTAGAGTAAATTTATCAAAAGACCAAAAAACAAAACTATTCTTACCAGTGGAGCAAGAAACCTCTCAAAGAAAGTATAAGCCAAAGACTAGGGGAATGAATTAGGTTGGTATCTGATATTTTTAGAGAGGAGTAGAGAATTTGACAATATGAAGATTAGAGAGGGGTCAAAGGAAAGTCACAGAAAGAGAATAAAACCTCTGAGGGGGAAAAAAGAATTGGAGAAGAATAGGCTGGGCAGGGAGTTATTCAATAATTGTCCTCCTGTATTAACTAGCTATTCTCACTATACCCAAAAGAAGGAATGGTTTTAAGCTGAAGTATGAGAGATTTAGATTCAACAAGTATATGGAGGAATTTCCTGATTGGGAAGTAACCTTTGGAATAGACTTTGGAAAAGGTTACAGTGAAATATTTTCTCTGACGGACTTTATATACTGGATTCTTTATCTGTGGCAGGTTATGAGTAGATCTGCTTGAAACCTGGGAGTTGAGGAGATGACTTCTCCAGGTTCCATCTAGCCCTGTAATTCTTAGCCACTTCTGCAGGCCTTCTGGTAATGGGAAACACATAGCTTAAGGAGAGGCCCTAGAAGAACCCAGAGAAGAAAGTAACAGCAGCTGCATCAGCAGTACCTATTAGAGTATCTAATTATAGGTGAGTCAGGTCACTTTGATCTAAGGTACTCCCTGGGACTTGGGTGAGGGGAAGAGGAGCACTACGTTTTGGGGTGGGGAGTCTCCATTACCCTTCCGAACCTCCAGGCAAATGCTTAGTCAGCTGAAAGAGGAGAAATACAATGATGTTTGGCGGGTGACTAGGGGGAGGGACCCACTGCAGGAACCCTGGGAGAAGAAACTGTAGAGGAGAGGAGTGAGTCCCTCGGTCACAGCATCAGCACCAGAGGGTTCCACTCTCCCATGTTGTGTCTTGAACGCCATTCTGGCTTCCTCAGCTACTGCGGTGCCACCCCTTCAGTGCCTTATTTCTTTTCAATTGCTACAGGAGAGTGGCAGCTCCCTTTTCCAAGTGTCTGGACCTGGGGTTCATGCAAGTCACTGCCACGGCTGCCTTTTGTGGAGAAACGAGGGAGGGAGGGGAGAGGAAAGAAAAAGGAAGAAGGGAAAGAAGAAATAGGGGGGAAAGAAGAGATAACACCTCTTCTTTTTCTCCCTCTTCCTGGTCTCTCTGCTCTCTTCTCTCTCTGCGCTTTTTGTTTCACTCCCTCCTCCTCCTCCTTTTCCTTCTCCCCGCTCCCCCTCCCCTCGTTCCCTCTGCACCCTTGCACACCAGAGAGGAGCTTCTGTAAGAGAGGAGTGTGTGGGAGAACAGAAGGAAGAGGTGGCCGTGGTAGTGGTGGGTGTGTGGAAGGACACGTACTCGCTTCTCGTTCTTGCTCTTGCAGTCAGCGAGGGAGCACACGGAGACCCAGTGAGCCGCAGTAAGCGGAGTTCTGCTAGGAAGATGCTGAAAGTCACCGCTCCCACCTCTACTTCCTCCTCCAGTTCTAACTCGTCTACCTTGTCTGGGAGCTCCTCGGCCACTCCCGACTATTGGATCGATGGCTCCAATAAAGACTCTTTGGATGATTTCTTCGAGGTGGAGACGGAGCTGGGACGGTAAGCAGGAGAAAGAGGAGGAGGTGGAGTGTGTGTGTGTGTGTGTGTGTGTGTGTGTGTGTGTGGTAGGGTGATGGTGGTGAGGAAGAGGGGTGCAGAGGCGGGAGAGCTGGCCGGGTATTCTGTCCCTCAGTCTCTGTTGGCTTCTCTGGCTGCTGTAGCTTAGCAAAACCAGACAAGCCGCTCCCGGCTGTGTGTAGGTAAACAAATGGAAAGAAGGGAGTGTGCGTGTGTAGTTCAGGGGGTCACAAGCTGAAGGGAGCCTCCCCAGCCTCTGGTTTTGAGGGACATTGACTTTCCCTTTCCTTCCTCCATTATCATCATCATCATCATCATCATCGTCATCATCATCATCATCATGATTTCACTTTGTTCACTCAGTAGAATTAACTAAATTTCGAGTGGACTCTTGTCGGTCAAGGTTTTTTGCCTACCCAGGAAATTTAGGGTTGCTGTAATAGTATGGATCCGTATTCGATCTCTACGCCATCCCTGTTCTCCCCAGCAACCTCCAGCCCCGGCCTCTTTTCAGGCAGCTTTCTCCTCCACTTTTGAACCCCACTTTGTCACCCACCCTACTTCAATCAATCCAGGGCTACAATCTACCTGAGCGTCCTTTTGTCTTGGGGATGGGAGGAGCGGAAATATGACAAAAACGTTAAAATTTGATTCCCCCGCCCCCCAACCCCATCTTGCTCTCTAAATTAAGTGACATTGGAAATTAAACTTAAATACCAGCTTCCTTGCAGTGGCTGTTCAGGAGTAGATAGGAGAATGAATCACTTACAAGAGTTTGTGGGAGAATAATAATCTAGTGATGCTTTACAGAAAAAAAAAGCAGCTCAAAGGGTCTAGATGAGTGATCATTAGTGAGGAGGGTTCTAGCTATTCTTCTTTCATGTACTCTAGTTACTTGTTTGAATTTTGTACTATGCAATGTCCCCAGGGCTGCAGAATTATCTCTTCTGATCCGATGTTTACAGTGGCCTAAGACTTTTGCTATGGGACTGGTGCCATATACTATTGTATTTTTACGTTCTGGGTTCTCTTTTTGCTTTTCTGTTCAAACATAGGGGAAATTCTAATTACTCATTTAAGATTCAGAAACGTTACTGTGGGAGAACCTAAAGGTAAAAAGTTGCTGGTTCCTTTCAGTTTTCATGCTCACTGATGCCAGGAAATTCCACTGGGGGTGAGGGTGGAGGAAGGCAAGGAGTTTAGCTAATAGAGATTTCTTTTTTTTCTGTTGGTAAAAGTTCTAAATTAGATTTTGTAATTTAAACACTGTGTGCAAGGATTCAGAGGACCTTTTCTTTCATTGCTTCTGTTCTTCCTCCCTTCTCTTTTCCCTCAAATCTAATTGAGTTGAGGAGCTGTATTAGATGATTCTAAGATGTAAAACATTTGAATTCAGAGGGATAATTGTCTGTTATCAAATGTTTACAGATGTTCAATATTATACAAATGAAACATCCAGGTCATTGAGTGAATTTAAAAATTATCACTAATATGAAAGGTAGAAAGGTGAAGTAGATAGAGAATTTGTATTAGGGTAGTGTAGGGTTCTTAACTCTGACACATAATTGTGTAACCAAGTCACTGAACTTGTATGTGCTGTAGGCAACTCTTTAAGACTTACAGATGAGGGAGCTTCCACATTAGGAGTTTCTCCTCTGAAGAAATTATAGGTAGAACCTCTTCCTCTACTGATGAAATCCCACGACTCTTCCTCCAACAACAAAGTTGAAAAATGTATATAACATCTGAATTCCTGTATTGGTAAATAGAACAACATAATTTTGTAAACAGAATGATAGGCTGTGTTGCTGTGTAGAGGATTAAACTTTTAATTAAACAGTCTACTTAAATTTTTTTGTTTGGCATCTTAGAAATTGTTATATCACTAAGGAAATTCTTATAATCAGGTCAGGGGCCATTCCTGGCAATAAACTTACCTGCCTTTCTAAATATTGTTTATCTTAAATCTGTCATTAATATACTTTGAGTTGATGTGTATGAGCATGTCTAAGAGTATCTAAGTCTAATGCAGAAAATATAAGAATTTTGAAAGTTATATTGACATTTACAAGTAAAAAAAAAGAGACTGTATTGATTGCATGTTTATAGAATAACTTTCTGGTACATTTATTGTAGGTTGAGAGAGGATGGAGTAGTGGTTAAAAGAACTGGTCTCAGAGCCAGAAAGACGTGGATTCAAGGTCAACTTTTGACATATAGTGACTGTTTAAACCTATGCAATTCACTTAACCTCTCAGTGCTCTGGGAAACTCTTTAAGACTATAAATTGCAGAAAAGATGCCAAACTGCACTAGTAGAACTATAATAGTTCAATCACTATTCCATTCTGTCTAAATAGCTTCTTAAGCATACTGTACTTAGTTCTCTTAAATATATGTTATTGCCATAGATACTTCACTCAGGATTGAACTATATTAAGATTTAAAGGTTTAAAATTATGAACTGTGCTCATCAGTAAAAATCTAAAACATTAATTATCTGTAGATTGCATATTTTATGTCTCCTCATAATTTAAAAACTAATTTCCTAATCAAAGTCTTTTTCTAATAAATAAATGGAAAACCTTAATTTTATAGCATTTAAAAATGCCTTCTAGTCTATATATGTCTTTAAAAAAATTAATACAGTTTTTTTAAGAGCAAAAGATTGTAATGATGCTATAATTGTTCATGGGATAAACTTCCTTTTAATTATACAATAATTTGAAAAATTAGAAAATTGAGGCTGAACCAACCAGTTTCAAGCCTCTGCTCTAACTTTTCGGTCATAACTATATGACTTCAACAAATAGAACTAATAACACAAAACTGAACCAATTGATTGTTCATGGACCACTATGATACTGTCTGACATTACAGAGTTCCAAAGTATGATTCTACCTTTTGGATGGCAAAGAGAAACAAGTTAACTTAGGGTTAATTAGAGATAGTTTATAGTTACCCTATAACATATGGTCTTTATTACAAAGTAGTTCTTATTGAATGCATCCCCATCCCCAAAAAACTCCCAAACTGTTTTGAATATATATTCCTGTTAAGAGAACTCACTGTAAGGAAAGGTACAGGAAATTAGGAGAAGCTGATTTTTGGAGGCTGCAGTTACAACATCAATCTAGAACTCCCTTCTTCTTTGCTGTATACTCTATGACCTAGGGTGTGGCAACAAAAGAAGAGAATTAGTAGCTCTGTAATTTGCATGAAGTCATATAAACATGAAGTGATAATGAAGCTTCTTTTCTCTTTTAAAGAAGTGTTAGTTTACCTAGTTAGTCAGCAAGCATTTATTAAGACTTAGTATGGAGGAAATTGCGGGGAGATGGTAGAATAGGGCAGGAAATTACCTAACTCTCCCAAATTCCCCCATAAATACCTTAAAATAATGCCTTAAAATAAATTTCGGAGCTGCAGAAATAATTAAAAAACACAGTGAGTCAGCTGTCCAGTCTGACCACTTGGGAGGACATTAGGAAAGACCTGACCTCCAGGGGAGGTTCTGGCCTGATTGAAGTTCAGATACCAGGTAGATACCATGAGTCAACATATAGCAAGGCTTGAAGGCAGCTGTGTCTTGGATGCTTTCCCACCACAGACAGTGTCATGGTTGGGCAGCTGATTGGGGAAGATTGTGGGCTCCTCCACTAGTGCTGAATGGAGTTTCAGGCTCTGACCAGATGGGGTCCCAGGCTATGGCTGTGGTGAGGAGGAGTGAGGAAATGCTGGTGAGTGTGGTCACTCAGAGGAAAGCATTGTCTTATATTTCAGTTCCATGGCAAAATGGTGAGCTGATGTTTGTAAGCTTATTTGACAAGGGTGCTGGGGTCCCTAGTCAAGGCTCAAAGGCAGAGATGAGCACCTGAGGTCACTTATAGACCAAGGTGTGAACTAGGGGAATAGTGACCACAGCTAGCCCTGGATTATAGAACATTAGAAGAAACAAGAGGTCAAAGGACTGAGATAGAGCTCAGAAAACAACAGCGTGAAAAACCTGAAGCCTGAGACATTATCCTTCATACCCTGGGAGCAGAGCCTGACTCTAACACAAAGTTAATAGCCAAGAAATAGCCCTTTTAAAAATGAATAAAAAATAGAGAAAGAACCTGACCATAGATAGTTACTATGGTGACAGAGAAGATCAGAGTTCCAATTCAGAAAAAGAGAAAACAATTTCTTAAAAAGCTTCAAAGAAAATGTAAAATGGTCACAAGACTGAAAAGAGTTCTTGGGAGAGCTTAAAAAATCTTTAAGAATCAAATAAGATAGGTTGAAGAAAAATTGGGAAAAGAAATGAGTAATGCAAGAAAAGTAAGAAAATTATAAAAAGGTCAACCAATTGAAAAAAGAGATCCAAAAACTTATGGAAGAAAATAACTCCTTAAAAACTGGAATTGGTCAAGGGGAAGCTGGTAACTTCATAAGATACCAAAAAATAATAAAATAAATTCAAAAGAGTGAAAAAATAGAAGAGAATATGAAACATCTCATCAGAAGAACAACTTCCTGGAAAACAGATCAAGCAGAGATCATATAAGAATTGTTAGACTACTTGAAAGTTATAATTTAAAAAAGAGTCTAGACAATATGCTAAAAGAAATTATTAAGGAAAATCCCTGTGAAGTTCTAGAACTAGAGGATAAAATAGAAATTGAAAAAATCCACTGATTACTGCCTGAAAGAGATCCCAAAATGAAAATGTATGAGAATGTTATAGCTAAGTTTAAAAGTTCCTAGGTAAAGGAGAAAGTATTACAAGCAAATAGAAAGAAATTATTTAAATGGTGTGGAGGTACAGTGAGGATGACATAAGATTTAGCAGCTTCTACATTAAATGTGGAATATAATATTCTGAAGAACAAAGGAGTTGGGTTTGCAGTCAAGAATAACCTACCCAGCAAAGCTGAGTGTAATCCTGCAAGAAAAAAGATGGATATTTAGTGAATTAAAGGAATTTCAGGTATTCTTTAG